CTTGGCGAGTCGATGAAAAAGGAAAGGTGCCGTAGCAGCGTACCTTGAGCTTGGATAGAAATGTAAATATATACTATATTATATATATACTTATTAGATACATTATATTTATATACTTTATAGTATATATCATATATTGTATATATATTATCTCTTTGAGTCTGAGTGTAAAATTATGCTTGTGCACCGTAGCCCTTCGCCAACCCATCCCTCATCAAATATCCATCCCGCCAGGCAGCAAGTGGATGTTACCGAGTGGTTCAAACCTAGGTTTCAGCAAGGGGGCACTGGAGTGTTGAGTTGTTTGTGGCCAAGATCAGGCTGTTTGTACTATAACTATAACTGTCAAATCTCAATCAACTCCTCTTGTTGGGTGGAGTTGGCCGCCCGTTTCAGGAATGCACAGATGCAGCACCGCTACGACCACTTTGCCGCGGACCTCCACCGGAACTTTGGCAGCAGCATCGCCCGGCATGTGGTGCTCACTGACGACCTGGGGCCTGCCGAGCTGCGAAAGGAAATCAATGAGATGTGCTTCGGCGGTGATGGGTGTGGTCGGCTGACTGGTTGTGATGGGATGGTTGGCAGGTCTTTTTTATGGGTTTCGTTTCCGAGCACTCTGGGCAGCTGTCTGGACAGCGCTTGAGCTGCTAGCCTTCCAGCTAACCTCTATGCTGGTCCCACCAGTCCTTGGGGGCGGACCCATGGGATCTGAAGGGCCTGGGGTGACCGAAGAGGAGCCGCGAAGGCGGTCTGAGCCGTTCTGATCCACCTTGGCTTAGGTAGGTCGGGGGTCGGTGGGGCAACATGCCATGGTAATGAATTACTTTCCAAGTACCTCATGAAGTTCCTGCCACTACCTCGGCTGGTGGGTTCTATTTACCGCGGTCATCTGGAAAACTCCCAGGGAACGCACCCATCCTATCCTTCAGATCCGCAGTCTTTTTCGGCGCGGTCTTTTTCGGTCACCGAGGTATCTCTTCCACGGCACCTCCCCGACGGACACCAAACTTTTTGGGGAATCGATTTCCCGGCGCTGCGTTTGTTTGAGCTTCTTTTTTTGGTTTGAATTGAGCACATGCATGCGAAAAGCCATGCGAAACAGCAAACTGATTTGGTTCACAGATGACAGTGATGACAGATGACAAGGAACAGACACTTTTGGAGTGCTCGAGTCTTCAGAAAGGTGCAAGGTAGCATGCACCTGCAAGAGTGGGGTCAGAAATTGGTCCCCGAATATTTTGAAACATGTATACATTGAAGATACATGTGTATATATATATATATACAATTGTCCTGAACACTTTGGCAGTGCCGATGCACTCGATGTGCACTTGAGTGGAAGGGTAGCGCCTTTAGCCACTGCATGAAGAGAATCCTGTTGATTTAGGGGCTGAATTCTGTTGTGGATGTGGCTTCTACTGGACCCCCGCACATGATAGCCCGAACCAACCCAGGGTTTGTAACACTTTTTGAACTGCTGTAGCGTCCTTTTTTGGATGACATGCGTCGTGCGTGTTTTTTTGCTACTAGTAAGTTTTTGAAGGTTTCCGATTTTGATTGAGACCCTGAAGGCTGCACTTCCCTTGTGACTTGTTAATGCTTCTCAATCACCTCCCTATTCCACTGGCCCACATGCTCTGAATATGGATGGAAGCCTGTAGAAAGGAACGGGTGTTCCTGAACAATGTTACATAGGTCAATCTAAAGGGGAAACCTGCAGCATGTGGGCAATTTGATAATGTGGCCGGCCACCCTTTTGCCAATCAGTTTTGGATATTTGCTGTCTCTTGTACGAAACTGGTAGATTATGAACTTCTTGTTGTGTGCGCCGTGAGCAGTTTCCTCAGACTTTTGAGTGACACGATGCTTTGTTTGGCTTGAGGCTTGCACGTTCGGAAACATACACAGGTCGAGTCTTTTGGGTAGCGAAGGAAGCTAACTGGAGTCAATCTGCGCTGGTGCCACTGGTGCCACCCCCGGCAAAACCGTACCTAAACAGGTAGGCGCCAACCATGTTGGGGCAAGCCCAGATCGTGGACGTGACCCCACCTGAGTTTCTAAGATTGTCAGATGATCTGAGCAGAACCCTTATATAATTGTATCGAATTCTTTGTTGGGAGTGTTTGCGGGACTCGGATCAGGAGGCGAAGCAGATCGCCAGCAGCGATTTCGACTTCAAGGAGGAAGCAGGCCTGAGCGCCTTCGTGTCCACGGTGACTTGAGTCGCCTTGGTTGGGAAAGATTTGGGTGTTTGTTTTGGTCCTTCGCCGGTCCTTAGCCCAAAACATGATTTCTTTGTGTCGCGTTGGGCCATGCTCAATCCATGCTCATTCGACCCTTTTCTGAGAGGAGTCAGACCCGAAAACAACAGGAGGATTCCTCCACTCGGAGGCCATGTGAGAACGACCTTCGGTTTGGGCTTGCACCTTCCAGAAGCCGCCGGGCGAGCGCATGAGAACAGCAAGGCGCGACGAGTGGGAGACAGGACGGCAGACGTCTGAGCGAGCCATGTTCAATCAGATGAGGAATCGGCGAAAAGGTGTAAACTACTAGACTAGGGGGGAGACCCTCCAACCCATGGGTTTTAGATGGCTTTATATAGTATGTATGTTTTAAACATGGTTTAGCTTATTTTCCTGGAAGACCAGGGCGTCTTTGGATATCTCCCTGCCCTTCTTCATCACGCGACCTTTGCACGGAAGAACCGACAAGTAGGTCGAGGTTGTCGACCAACTTGAAGCCAACATGTTGGTGCTTGCGAAGCTGGGTTTGTGAGCTTGTCCTTATGTATGAACCTGGATGATAAACAACACACCAGTTTCAGCCACAGCACAACAGCCATGTGACAGAGCAGAACTTCAACTTAAGGGCCGGATTCCATTCCCTTCCATTCTTGCATTCTTGCACCATCTTGCACCACAACATTAAAGCCTGCGATGACCACTTTAGTGTGTATATATATATATAGAGTGATTTTGAATCTCAGGAATTTGACAAGAGCCTGAAAAAGTGATCCCTTAAACGTGATAATCGAGAACCATGTCGCTGCACTTTTTGGATCTTTTTGGGCATTTTTCCCTCTCTCTCTCGATCTATATAATATATGTGTGTTCAGCTATGTGAAAGGTGTGGTTCGGGGCTGAGAAAAAGCGATAGGCTCCCCTCAAAGCGATAAACTTGTTGAATCACGTCCTCTTCGCTGGCAGGACTTTCTGGCAGACGCTCATACATAGCAAATAGGCTTCTACTTACTTTCGCACCTGCTTGACCCATAAATACATATTTTGTGAAGGATCACCTGACGCACGCACGAAGCCTATGATTGTTTTGGCTAGCCTCATGACGACGGATTGGAGAATCTGAGACCCAGCCACTCTCCAATGGGATCTTTTGCTTTCCACAAAACACAGAAGCTGGCCGGGAAGAGCACATGTGCACCTGTTTCATCCTGTCTCTATTTCATCAAGACAAAGCGGACGGTTCGTCCGGCGGCCGCTGTCGATCTTCAACACTGGAGGTGGAGGATAGCTTGCGAGCCCTCTTGCTGGTGAAGGCGGTGGGAGGGAACGTGCACACGGCCGTGGCCACTTGGCATGGAGAGATCTTGGGGAGATGGCCCCAACTTGAAGGGTGGTTTGTCCTTCGATTATTTTTTTTCCCTGTTTGGTCCAGATGGAAGCCAACAGAGGCCCCGTTCCGCAGATGACGAAGTGATTCCGGGAAGTTGGGTGGTGTTGGGTACCATTTTTGAGCATTCAAGCCTCCCAAACTGAACTCTGTTGTTGAAGGCGTGAGGGGATTTGTGAGGGATGGATGATAGGGCAGCAAAAAAAGGATATTCTGTTCGTATCAAGACTTGTTTCCGATCTGAGGCAGAATCAAGAGTTTACAGAGTCTGAGGACCACCAGGAATAGACTTGGTCATGACCCCATCCTTGGCAAGACCAACCAGGGACTCAGATCAGAAGTTGCACATTCAGCAAAGCTCGGTGAACGGGGAAACAGATGTGAACTACCTCTGATCATGTGGCCTGATTCGGCTCATGCGGAGGAATTCCCAACGTTTGGCGGTTCGCAGATCGACTGGCTTGACTGGGCAGGGAGACCGAACTTGGAGAGACCGAACTAGCTAAGCCAGTCAAGCTGCGAATTCCTGCGACTTGGGGATCATGTCATGTCCGACAACCAGTTGCGACAACATGTGAAGAACTGAAGAACTGAAGTTGGACGAGCGACGCCAACGAGCGCCGACACCGGGACACCGGCTCACAGAGGGGAGCCAGGTTCGCTGCCACATTCTTCAAAGACAAACTCGAGCAAACGTCTGGGTACGAGCATGATGCTGTCTGCTAGTTATGGACCTTTGTTTAGTACAGAGTACAGACTTGACTCTACAATGGCTATGTTCGTGCTCATAGCTTGAAGTGCAAGTGTATACTTCCCCAAAGCATAAGGGCCTCCGTCCTCCGTTTGTCCAATCGATGTTCACGAGCCATTTGCTCGCATGGCCAGAAACTGATTCATGGTATCCGCACAGCTGAGCGCCTTGAAAACACTCAACGAACCCCCAATCCATTGCTAGTTTCCCATTGCGGGCTGCGCTGAAAAAAGGAGGACCGATCAAATCCTACTGTCTCATTCCAAGTCTCTGAAAGCCCCCCCGATGCTTCACGTGTGCTCGGTGTCTGGAAAGACGCTGCACAGCTGGGACGCAGAGGAGGTGGAAGGACGATCCGTGAAATGCCTCAAGAGGCAGTTGGCCCAGCAGATCCTTGATTGAGCAGAGGGATTCGCCCACAACGACCTCAATCTCCCTCTAACACTAGGACCGGAGCCGGAAAAAACTCTTTCTACCATCAAAATCCTTCAGGCTGGAAAGTGAAGGACACTACCAACTTGACGGCAATCGTATTGTTTGAAAAGTCCAGTAGTCCATTGTCGCTGATGCTGCGATCTTTCAATTCCTTGCCTGAAGTGAGGATTGGAGTCTCGCGATTCCGGCAGAGGTGGCTTCGTGAGGATCACATCTTGCATGACGAGGAGGTGATGGAGCTACACTTTCTGCAGGAAAAAGCGTGCCATGAGGAATGGTCAAAAGCACATCAAGCAGAGTTCATCAGATACATCAGTGTCGTCGATGGGTCAAAATTGAACTCCCCCGCAGACTACTTTGACTACTCTCTTTAGATTTTTTGATATTTTTAAGTACTGTAAGTGCACTAATCGCATTGGTGAAGGACCCAGCTGTGTTCACGACCCATGTGGTGGTTTGATGTTGATACACCAACCCTGAGGATGCCAAGTCTGCTTCAACCATACAGCTGGTGATTCTGACCCTTTGCCCGCCAGAAGATTGGCAAACCAAGAAGCTGGTTTCGGCCTGCATGGAGAATAACTTGAACGAACTGGAAGCTCTGCTGCAGCAGCCACTCAATCCGGAAGCCACTGATCAAGACGGTCAGACGGCTTTGCAGATCGCTGTGACGGCTGGCCATTCCGATTGCCTCAAAATGTTGCTTGAAGCTGATGCGGAGATGGACATCGCAGCTGACCGAAAAGAAGGAGACACATTTTGTTAGTTCTTTGGACTTCCTTTGAAACTTTGGCAGGTAGGGGCGACATGTTTCACCCGGCTTCTTGCGAGGTAACTTAGCTTGAGGTAGAAGGGCAGATCGTGTACACTCCCAGTGGATCACGTTTGTTTTATATATACATATATATATATACACATAGAAACCAGCGGAAACCAGTCTAAGGACTTTTTGGCTAAGTTTTTCAGTGTTGCTGCCAAGTCATCAAGTCAGGAAGACCTCTTCAGCTCTACGCCTTTGCATGAAGCAGCTGAGAATGGTCACTCAGAGGTTCTGCAGCTCTTGTTGAAGGCCGGGGCTAACACAGACAAAGTAACATGTTGCGATGAGACAGCCATGCACCTGGCAGCTGAGAAGGGGCACTTAGAAGTAGTGCAGCTATTGCTTGAGGCTGGCGCCCAAACCAACCAGGTTTCAGCAGATGGCGCAAATGTACTGCATGTTGCCGCTGGCAAAGGACACTTAAAGGTGGTGGAACTGTTGCTTAATTCTGGGGCTGACAAAAATGCAGCCACTACCACGACTGGTAAAACAGCATTACACTTGGCTGCGTCCAAGGACCACTTGCAAGTTGTGCAGGTTTTGCTCCAAAACAGTGTTGATAAAGACATGGTTACAATACATGGGGAAACAGCATTGCATTTGGCTGTTGAGAATGGCCACTTGGACGTGGTACACCTCCTGCTGAACTCTGGTGCTGACAAAGACAAGGTCACCCACCACGGGGCTACGGCCTTGCATTTGGCTGCTCGCAGCAGGAACCCCGAGTTGGTCCGGCTGGTCTTGGAAGCTGGCGCCGACCAAGACAAGGTGACATTTGCCAAAGTGTTTTTCGCTGCTCTTTTAATAACCAGGCTGCTGCATAGCTTAATTAAGTGCTTTTGGCTTCGAATTGCGCCCGCTCCCTTGCTGTTCGTTTCCAGAGGAACGTTTTACCCAGCTCACTCTATGTTCGTCTCAATGTGTACAGGTTTGTTTCACTAGTGATCTTTAGTGACACATTTGCCAATGCGGTGTACTTCGCCGCTCGAAAGAGTCATCCTGAATTGGTGCAGAGGCTCCTCTCGGCAGCAAGGTGAAGCACGACTTCAGCCCGTGGGGCACGACTTCAGGTGGTACATGAGGTGTTGATTTTTTGGGTGTCGCTTGCCAAGCTTTGAAGTTCAATATTTGTGGTGTGCACTGTTAGACGCCTGCAAAGCCACCGTGGCGGTGTAGATGCTTGTTTCACCAGCAGACACCTGAGGCAAATCAAAAGTAAGCGGGTTGGCCCTTTATAAAGAGGTCAGGTGCACACAATTTGCCGACAAATATTCCTTGTCCTCTCCCAAGAAGCTACCGTCAGTCAACAAGCTTGAGCTTTCGAGAAGACGGCCCCCATTGCAGATTTTGCAGATTCTAGGGTTGTTCGGAAGGGACACTGAGCTGCTTCTAGCGTAGATACATGCATGGTACCCAACAAGAATTCTAACTTGTTGTAGATGTTTGTCGCAAATTGCCACTGGCTTCAAGGTTGTGACCTTCTCGGGAGAAAAACGGTATTTGAAACATCTTCTTGGACTATATTCTGAAATAATGGAGCGACTCATGCTCAGGAACACGGAGATAGCTCCGAGATGGTGCACTCAGGCCTGGCAGCGGGTGGACGGCCGTGGGGTGGCATCGTGGCTGGCGTGTGGAATTGGGTCGGAAGCATCTATGCTCAAGACTCGTTCAAGAGTGAAAAACATTTTGTGACCAAGTTGGGGAAAGAGGAATTGAATCACCTGGTGATCATCCTTGGATGGGTTAGTCTTGGGGTGGCTTGATTCCATGATCGAGGTATCTAAGGCAGTGCACATTCATGGCCACACGTGGCGCCGAATAAGAAAGGAGGGATGAGTTAATAAATTGTAACTAATTGCAGCTTTTAAGGTATTTCTTTTGACGCGCCCACCCCCGCTATAGTCATTCTATGTCGCCGTCCACCGGCTACTGCTTGCCGGCCACCGTCCATCGGTCACCAGCGACCACCAGCGGCCACCATTCTATGCATGGAAGAGCCCGGGCAAGCCCTTCTAGATTCCTACTCTGTCATTGGACATGCGTCAGATACATGCTTTACATGGGCCTTTCTTTAGGCTTTCCGTGTCCGCCATGAGAGCACCAAGCGGCATTCCATGCCCCGATGCGCATGCAGCATGCCAACACGAGCATCAATATGATATATTACTATATTGCACGGCATAGGCTTCATTCAGTGTCTTTGCGTGCAGAAGAGCTCAAAGTGTGACTGGCTGATTCAATACATGAGGCCGACTTCCCAGCGGATCGCTTGTCCTCAGTGCCGGCAACCTTTGAAGCAGGCAAGACCAGGTCAGAGAGGAGCAGTTGTTGCCCAAATCATTGCTGAACCAGCCGTGCTCAAGGCGGGGCATTTGTCGCGTTCCCGCACTTCCTCCTGTTAGCAAGCAACGTGCTGGTGTGGCTTTGCCGCTTATCGCGTTCATGGGGGCAAGCAGCTGTGCACCTTACGAAAAGAGGTGGATTTGCCTGACCCTGGCTAGTGACTACCGCTGGCGCTACTGGCTGTATGTTTTCTCTCCAAAGCTGCGAGATGACAGAATTCTTCTATAGATGCTAGATAGAATTCCCTGAAGTAGAAATCTGTGAGAAAAGGAGTAGGTCGCTTGCCGAGTTTGGTATGGGCAGGCGTTGAGCCTGACGAACGCTTGGTCTTGCAGCTCCGGAAACCAAAGGCAGTGTCGCAATGAAGCCATGAAGTGCTGCAGGCTCACCGCCCGGAGGTATCCAAGCGCCGGCACCATTCTGGCGCAAAAAAGAAGCTTGCTGAGCCCGGGGTGATCAGCCTCGTCGTATCTCCACCTTCCGTGCCTGCACAAGTCAAGGTTTCTCAGCCAATCACGCTGCCAACAGGGCGGCAAGCGCCCGTCCCGACACATGTTTGTATGAGTGGCATTCACGGCTTTTATAGAGAAGCAGATTGGACAGGTATATAGTTCCAGGTTGCAAAAGAGAAAACCAGATTGCCAGTGGTTCCTCATGACATGGCTCCAGAGTCCAGGGAAGGCAAGGACAGTGGATTGACAAACTATGGTTGTTGGTTTGAGTTGGAACTTGTCGATGTATTTGTGACCAGATCACTACCCGCCGGCCACCACCGGCCACCACCGGCCACCGGCAGCCTGACACCGGCCACTGGTCAGCGGCCACCGGTGCAATCATCAATTCTTTAGAGCACCCATCCGTGATGGAAAAGGAAACTGGATGAAACTGGGAGGTTTGAATCAAGCATCTTCGGCAGGATTTCACTGGAGCCAGATTGATTTTTCCAAAGTTCTTTTCATCCATGATTCCGGAAGATTCTTCATGGACCCCATGACCCCGAAATCGAACTTTAAGTTGTCCTACGGGGACGCGCGCGCAGGCGTTCCCCGAAACCAGAAGTGTAAATGATCCCATCGGGACTTGTTTGGGGATCAACGCTGAGAGGCCTCTCTCGCCAGGTCAGTATGATTCAGTGTGTGGCATACATCCCACTCATCGGGAGATGGTCTTCTACCACCACAAATCCGTGTGTTGCGATTACATAATTCTCTACAAGCAGGCCCGGGCATGCCATTGTGAATGTGGAGTCGGTAGGCTGGAAGAATGACACCTTGTTTGCGAGGTGTTTTTCTTGGTTATTTCTTGAGAGGAAACGGACTTTGAGACGAAAAACATCTCCTGCTGAGTGGGGTCTCCGTGTCCGACATTTCCCATGGGTTCATGAAGCATCACCCATTCTATAGATTGAAGTAGCGTCCTCCTGGTACTTCCCCTTCTCACGGACCCAGAGTTCTCCGTCCAGGACTTTTGATGTTGGACCGACAGCTACAGTAGTATAGGAAGTAGTTCCATGCGACTTCGCATTTTTTTTCGAAAAGTTCGATCACCTACACATGGATGTCTTTCGGTCGCCGGACTGTGTCACAGAGAAGGCCGGTGACCGATGGACAGGGTCACAGACGAGGTCACAGAGCATTTTTTCCCATCGTTCGTCAAGGATCAATTTCAAGGAGGGAAAGAAAGCTCCTGGATCTGAGCTTTTTGTGGATCCTCAGATCCTCACCGCCAAGATTGACTCATTTTGGGTTACGCACAAATCCTTACGGGACCCTTGGGTTCAGGGATTTCTTTGCGGGAATCCCGTGGATTTCTGGTAGAGTTGCTTTGAGTTGTCTCTTCAAGGTGAGTTCTGCTTCATGTGTCGATGACACCCTGGCTGACGGCCGAGTTTTCCTAGGAAATCAATGAGGCTTAAGCCTGCAAAAGCCTGTGCTCCCTCCATCCTCTTCGCTCGCAAAATTTTCCCCTCGTCTCTCACAAGGCGTTTGTCCTTTCATTTACAGTAGCATGTTATCCATTTTCTTGATCAGATGCCCTGGAAGAAATCCATGAGAACATGAAGACCTGCCACGCCGTTGAGCAGGCTGAAGCGGCCCCTACGGCCGAAGCAGCAGCCCCAGCAGCGGCTCCAGCAGCCGAAGAAGCAGCACCTGCGGCCGAAGAAGCAGCACCTGCGGCCGAAGAAGCAGCACCTGCGGCCGAAGAAGCAGCACCTGCGGCCGAAGAAGCAGCACCTGCGGCCGAAGAAGCAGCACCTGCGGCCGAAGAAGCAGCGCCTGCGGCTGAGGCAGCAGAGTGAGCGAGTAGGGCCGCGTTTGCGGAGCTTTTTCCCCGCCAGGTGCGGTCTGCACGAGGGCGCAGGGTGCTTCGTCCAAGTGGTCTTGCAGTTTCGTAAGGGAAGAGTAAGGAGTTCAGAGGTTGAGTCCGACGATCCAAAGGGAAACCTATGAACTCCAAGGAAAACCATTCAGCGATCGTGCACATGTCATTCTCGCCCCTATGCACTGCAGTACCTGGATCAGTACGATGGCAGGGCGTCAGCGATGAATTCTGGACAAGGCTTTGCATCAATTTGGACAATTCAGCATCGGCGGATCTAGATGACACACAACCTAAGGTTCAGACTAGACATCTAAGGGCTTATAGACCAAGCTTCCTGTTTGAACCAAGATCTTGCAACAGCAATCGGTTCTTGCAGATCTTCCAGACTCATGCGCCAACGGGTCAGACACCCGTTGTCACACCGTTGAACAATACCCGTTTCACGAAGGCAAACGGTCTTCATAGAGAGGCCCTCCTGAGGTTGATGACCAAAGCCTGGTCGCTTGAAACACAATAATCATAGTCATATATAGAGTTGCAATGTTTTAAAGTTATTCTATATGCTACATATGTTGATATATTGTTATGTATATAACTATATAGTTACATGTTATGTAATTTTACACATATGTGTATAGTGCAAGTATATTGTATACGCAGTAAACTACCTGTAGCCTTCGTCAGAGTACCGGGTTGTTTGAGCAACTTTCAATCCCTGGAGGTGCTATTGCGCGAATCGTTCACGGAGGTGCTTAATAGCACGAGTCGTGCTGTATTTTGAGCCAGGCTTATCATCAACCTCCACAACCATTGGCAAGGCCACCCTGTTTCGGGGTTGCTTCGGTTACTACAGCGCTGCACTTAAGGTGCACGTTTCGTGAAATGGCGCTGGAGAGAGAAAGAGGGGCGGAAGTGTGGCGAAATGATGCGCGAAATGATGAGTGGACAGGCCTCATGCGTTCCAAGGAAAACAGCAGTTGTTGGGGTTGAACAAAAAACTTCTGCTTGATCCACTAGATGCGCTTTAAAGTCACTAGTAGCACTCGTCTTTTTTTTTTTCTCTCTCTCTCTCTCTTTTAAACACTTCCGAATGTACCAAGGGACTCGACAGACCTGGCGATTCGGGACATCGAAGCAGTGGAGGACGAGTTTGAAACACTTAAACTGCAAGATTTGTTTGACATGTTTGGTTAGATGATTTGCCAACCAATGGGGGTGTATTGAAGTGTGGAGACCCTCCAACCACTGGGTTTTACTAGGGTTTGTCCTACTTTTTGGGTCGAACTGGTGGCCTCCCTAGTTCAAAACACGCGACAGACTTTTCCGCGCATTTGGTCATTTGGTGGGCGAGACCGCTGAGGTCGAAGATGCGGGGAGAGCCCCGGCGGATGAAATGGTGAGACATGGCTCATGAAAGCTGACATGCACAGGCAGCTGTCGGTTTTGGGGGGATTTGAGCCTCAAACATCAATCGAAAGACGACTTCTCAATTTTTGAAGTGGTTTCTGTAGGGCCCGGCCGAATCGGGCAGAACCGAATTCGTAGCGGCTACGAAACTCCGCTTCTCTGTCAGTTGGTTGGAGTGTAATTGCAGGTCAATCATCACATTTTGTGGTTGTTTGTGTGGGGACAAGGGGGGATACAGGTCTGAAGAGAAGAATCCTCGAGTCTTGCAGTCTTGCCCCTTCAGCGAAATGTGTTCAGTTTCCCTTCACTGGGATCTTCGACACATATCAGTCGAAAGCAACATGACAAAGGATGATTATATAAGGGTTATTTCTTGGAGTGGCTGGGCTGGAATGGGGAACCTAGGTAGTTCTACGACCTGGGATTTGTTTGTATTTTTTTGTATCCTAAAAACCTGAAAGCTCTCCTTTCAGACACTACAAGACACAATCCTTTCCTAT